CAAAAGAAAATAAATTTAGCTGGTGTTGAAGAGGATTGCTAAGGGCCCACAGAATGCCAAAATTTATCCTTTTACTTTCTGGTCTGTGAGTTCATGAAGGATGGGAAGGGGCAAGGCTGGGGAGGCTGCCCAGGGAGAAGAAACAGCCTGCTTACCTACAAATGCATATAAAGTCCAACATTTTATTTTATTTTTTTATTTTACTTTATTTTGCTTTTGGGGTCACACCCAGTAATGCACAGGGATTACTCCTGGCTCTGCACTCAGGAATTGCTACTGGCGGTGCTTGGGGGGACCATATAGGATCCTGGGAATCAAACCTGGGTCAGCCGCGTGCAAGGCAAACACCCTACCCACTGTGCTATTGCTCCGGTCCCTAAAGTTCAATATTTTAAAAGTGGTTGTGATTGTTCTGAGGCACCCACTACGAATTTCAATTCAGAGTTGAAAGAAATGGGAAGTCTCCATAGAGGTAACCCTGCGAAGCCTGAAATGTCGTGGTTCATGAGTTGACTGAGTCATGCACAGGAAGACAGAGCAGAGGGGAAATTGTGAACACGTGGCTTTGCTATTTTCTGCTTGAGATAAATTTCAGTGACCCTATATGTATTCAGGAGAAATCAGTAATACCAAATTCGAAAGGATGAAATAAAAATTATATGCAAAATGCTTACTACAAAGAAAGTGGTCAAGGTAGTTGCTGTTGTTATTGCTGTTGTTACTATTATCATTATTATATCACTTCTATCAGGAATCGTACCTAACTAAAAAACCTGGGCTCTAGATCTGTTCTACTGTGATCTGTGTAGCCCTAGACAAGTCAACCACTTGAACCAAAATTCTGAGACTATAAATATCCTCATTCTACATATTCATAGAAGAATAATGAATAGGGAAAAATTCAAGTGTGAAAGGGAACAACTTCACATTCTTATCAGATTCTCAAGGAGTTGAAAACCAATGATTTCCCAATTCTAAATTTTCAGAAAACGTATGATTTACTTGAAGCATCTCATCCTATAATAGGATAAATTACAAAATCACAATCACAAATCACAAATCATCCTGTTATTCGTCGATTGACTCGAGCAGGCCCCAGTAACGTCTCTTTCATCCTAGCCCTGAGATTATATTCAAGGCGCTTTAGGAGAATGAGACCCATCATTGTTACTGGTATTTGGCATATTGGGTACACCACAGGGAGTTTGCCAGACTCTGCCATGAAATTACACTCTGCTGTGAAATTACACTCAGTATCATCTTCCTGCTATTGCCCCTTATGTAAAAGGTCACCATATTTGTGTTTCATTTCCTTAAGAAAAAAATTATCACTTTATTTTTAAATGTCGCAGTGGTTTGAATATAAATCACAACTAGCCAGTATTTCAAATCTTAAACTTTTATTTCAAATACTCGCCATAAAGTTGTTAACAATGACCATGATGTTAACAGAAAGTGAAAACATTTAAACATAAAAGTATTAAAACACACACTTCATTTAATATTATATTTCATATAAGAAATAATAGAAAAATTACTCAAACGTTCCCTAAAACAATAACAAAATGCTCTTTGAAGTCACTGAACAACGGGAATTATTTGTAGAAAAATAAAGTGAAGTGCAATTCCATAAAAAGAAACACGTCACCAAAAATTATTCTGAGGTATATTTATGTTGATTACTATTGATGGAAAAAATAAAACTGGCACAAAAATCTGCTTTTATTTAAAATCACATAAGACTGAAAGAACAGAACCATCACTCATAGAGTAACTGAAATCACCTAAAATCCTACAATCAAGAATTACTTGCATCCAATGATGATTCATGTCTCCTAACCACCACAGCTGCTTACAAATCCTGCTTCCTACCTGTGTGGAATTTGAATTCTGTTTGATGTAATGCAAGATCCACATTCTCATCCAAAACATTTTTTTATTTTCATCTATATTTTGTGAAAACAAATTGAAGCAAACCCAAATTCCAGTTTACCTGGGAAGAAAAGACATATTTTCCTCCTGCTTTTGCTTTTCAGTGCATGTTTATTAATCCCAAAGCGCTTTTTTGACCCCACATGAACCATTCATCAATTTTCATCAACCATTATCAGTGGTCCCTGCGGTGTACCTCAGTGGGTTGGCAAAAAAACTTGTAGAATCAGGTTTCACAGGAGAAAAATGCATTGCACTTCTGAAGTCCCAGTCTATACTTAAAAAAAAAGAAGAAATCTTCTTTCCATGTGCTAAATTTCCCTGGAGTAGATGACTGCATTTACAATAGGCATTGTCAAAAATAAAACTTAAGTATAAAACCAGGGTCTAGGATATTGCAGTCTCAACAATGAGCATAAAACAACCAATGGCAGTATTTCTACATATTGAAATTCCTGAGGCCAGATGTTCCTGGGGTTTATCAAAATGTGATCTGATTAAGGGATTATGGGGAAGGTTGTGTTATAAATCATGCTGTTAGTTACATGCATTCAAAATAGTTTCTACAATTCTAGGAAAAGGGAATTTAATATTGGAAACTACTTACAGTGGCACCAATCGAGTAATAGAGTAGAAACAGGTAAAAAAATCTACACACCAATGTCAGCATGCTTCAGGGAGTAGGATGATTACATGAATTTAACTGTGTATTAGTGCAGAGACATGCTTGTTAGGATTAAACAGGATGAAGGAAAGAGGTGACTTTGAAGCCTATTCGTTTACAAAATGCAAAACTAAGTTTTCAAGAAGTAACATTAAAATATGTATAATGTTTTTGACAATTACAAAATGTCTTTGACATTCTCTACATATACATATATATCTTTATAAAGCAAAGAAACTGCTGCATTTTCTAATGGAAAATACTGGGTTCAATCCCTCGAAAAGCACCAAATGCATACCATTTAAGATAATGTCACTGATGCACTTTTGACAACTAAATTACAAAGCTCTTTGATATACTTTGTATGAAGAGTGGTAATTATGGCCAATAAAATCAAAAGAAGAAAAAACTAATTAACACTAACATATCATTACGACTCACTAAGATATAAAATCCTATGCTTCCTCTAAATTGCCAGCAATTGGCAAATTTCAAATTCCCAAGGTTACACACAATAAGTTCCAAATCACTGGAGCCCCAAAGGTGTGTGTGGGGGGGGGAGGGGTCGAGGAGGAGGGCGTGGGGAACTATAGCATTATTTTCTTCTCTGAAAAATATTCACAGCACACCAATGACAAAAGTCAACTCATTGCATCCCCCAGGAAATGTAATCTCAAGATTGTAAATACAATTTATTAGATGTGAATCCAAATCTCATGTTTCCTCATAATGATTTTTTTTAAGATAAGTTGTGGTTTGGTTTTTTTTTTCTTTTTTTTTTTTTTTTTGCTCTGTGTGATAGAAATAACAAGTAATTTGGAGATAAAAATCCTATGCTCAAATTCCAAATTTAGGTAATTATATTCCTATAATTTGGAGCAAATAATTTAACTCTCCATTTAATGGAGCTTATAAAAACACCTAAACCACTGAGTTCCTGTGAGGAAGTATGAGGCAAAATGAAAATAAAGAAATTCCAAAATTGGCAACAAATGCTCTATAAATGTCAACTCTTCCCTGTCTTGATCTAAACTTAGCAAGTGGAAAAATACAAAAGCATCCTGCTACAAAAATCTGACCACATGATAAGTAAATCGATCATAGTAGAAAGAACAATATATTGAAGAGGGAAGGATTCTATGAGGCCTGGATTTAGTGCAATTGACCCAAGTTACTTGTGGGGGAAACCTGACAAAAACTTTCAGCAAGACAATAAATCTATTTTACCTCAGTGAGTAAACCAAGAGTGTAAAAATCTCATGGCTTTAAAGTATATGGAAAAGCATTTGGCCTCTGTAAATTAATTGAAATTAAAAAGCAAAAAAAAAATTAAAAATCAGAAAAAGGGCCAGGGAGATATCTCAATTGGTCAAGCACATGCCTAGCATATGTGAGGCCTGGATTCAATCCCCAGCATAATAAGACACCCCACCCTATCACTGCTGCTGTGGCCTTGGTGAGCCCCAAGCGTATCATTGCCGGGTCTATGCTCTGATCTGTCAGATGTACACAGCCTGACTGAGCATCTTGGAAAATGGCCCCCAAACACCTCCACCACACTCAGCAACACTAGGCATAACCCTTCCCTGCAAAAAGTAAAAAACAAAAACCACACTTGCCTACTAATAGGTAAGTCAACAATATTATCAGAATAACTACCTCAAGTTTACCATTGTATTCTCATCTCATTATTTGAAAAATTCACAGCAATAAATGACCTCCTACACTTAAAAAGGTACAACAAAGACTTCATTTAAACCTGCAAAAAAAGGGTGGAATTTCCAAAAACTTTCTGGATGTAGGGTATTTCTGCACAAATGTACCAAACGAGAAAATGCATTGAAAACACTTGGTAGAGGTCATTGCCCCATACAAACGTAAGATACTATTAATAGAGAAATCTGAAAAAGCTCTTTTGAATCTTCTAAGCCAACAAAACTTATAAAATAAAGAACCCTTTCTAAAATATGAAACAGACAACGCCTGTATCTCAATACAAACTCAAATAAATTGAGGGGAAACAATGCAAACCACCAGACCAATTCCCTTTCCTGGCTTCACTGCTGTTCTTTGATTTCGACACCCTCAGTCACTCACACGTTCCTTTGTTCATCTCTCTGCTCCCCTGCAGCTTACTCCTGATCTGAGTTATTGAGCTTTCAAGTAACTGATTTCTCCTGTTGCTTTCCTCGACTCCTGAAACGGCTAAAGTCGCCAGCTCATCAGTTACCCATTCCTGACCAGGTTTCTACATCTGTGGCCTCTCCCACCTGCCACTTCTTGTGTGGCAAAGCCCCTTACACAGGCATAGAAGGGTGCTCTGAGAAGGCTTCACTGCACTCCCCCCACCAGGGAAAAAAAAAAAGCCTCATTAACAAAACCAACTCAAAAGTGGCTGTCTTTCTCAAAACTCCATCGAATCCTGCATGTCCAGAGAGTCCTCTATGCCTAACGGATCCCTGTCGCCCTCCTGCGAGTTCATGAGAAACCCAGTTTTTTTTAACGCCTTATGCGCATTCATAAACTTCTGCAGGTACTTGGAGGTGTACAGCCAGTGATGCTTCAACACATCCTCCATCTCGTAGCACTTGGACTGCCTGGCGTTCATTTTGCGGAAGCGCCTGAAGAGTTTGTTGCCGGACTCGTTGCCCTCGCTGGCCCAGGCCCCGATGGAGCCGTCCCTCTCGATGATTTCCGGCACGTGGGCCAGCGTCTTGTGAAAATAATTGGTGATCTTGCCCTCGTACCGATACTTGAACTTGGTGGAGAGGAGCTCGGCGAAACGCTGCGAGTTGAAGCTGTACTGGCAGAGGGCCTCGGGGCACTCTTGAGCCGGGCAGGAGGAACGCCACACGGGTTTCATCTTCAGGTAAAGGTCCATGAGCTCCCGCAGGGCCTCGTGCCTCTCGGGGCTGGGGATTAATTCGCAGACGGCCTCCACCGTCTCCTGCGTCATGAGCTTCCGGGCGAAGTTGCCGTTCATGCGCATGATGGGCTTGAGGTTCATCTTCTTGCGGAGGTGCTTGTCCAGCGTGGCCTGCCACCGCTTCCGCTCCTCTTTGGAGGCCTGCGGCTGCTTGTAGGCCTCCCCGATCTCCAGCTGGAAGAGCTTGTAGAACTCGGCCGCGTTGCCGATGTCGCAGTGCAGCGCGTCGATGGACGGCACCGTCTCGATGAAGGGCTTGGCCGAGACGCCCTTGACGCGGTCGCGCAGCTCCTCCACCGACTCGTGGTAGGGGTTGGACCGCCACACCTCGTAGCGCTGCAGGTTCTCGCCGTGGCTGCGCGTGATGGAGTGGAAGACCAGGTTCTGCGAGGCCTCCAGGCGCGTGGCGTCGCACAGGGTGCAGATGTACACGGAGCCCGACGCCTCCAGGCCCTCCACCTCGCGCACCAGCTTCTCGTCGTAGCCCGTGCCCCGGAAGCGGAAGTGGAAGGTGCGCGGCAGCCCGCCCAGCTCCAGCCGCAGCTGGCTGCCCTTCATGGCCTCGCGCTCGGCGATGAGAGGGCTCAGGATGGCCGTGAGCGTCTCGTGGTCCGACTCGTCGGCCAGCATGAGGCACAGGGGCTTGCAGCACAGCTCCGAGTTGGGCTTGGACTCCTCGAACACCGTCACCTCGCCGCCCCCGCGCGGCACCGTGATCCGCATGATGGTGAAGGAGAAGCGGACGGCCTTCTCGGGCACGGCCGGCCCGCTGCCGTGCTTCTCACTCACGTCGCCCATGCCGTCGCACGACTCTTTCACCACCACGGTGAAGGGGCCGTCCAGGTAGTCCTCCACATCCTGGGCCCTCATGCCGTCCAGGATGTCCTCTTCCATGTCCATCAAGGCCGACACCAGGGCCGCGTCGTAGCGGAAGCGCTTGGCGATGGTGTCCACCGGGTACTCGTCCACGGACGCGGACAGGCCCGAGAGGCCGTCGATGATGCCCACGTCCGTGCTGGAGGAGACGTTCTTCAGCGGGGGCTGCCACTCAAAGGCGTGGTACCCCGGCAGCAGGACCTTCTCGGCGCTCCGCAGGGCGTGCAGGGGCTGGAAAATCTGCCTCCCCGTGATGGCTTTCACCGTCCGGTACATCTTGTGGTACTGACTGCAGCTGAGGAAGGTGTTGACGCGGATGGCCAAGCAGACGGCTGGCTGCAGACCAGACCCGCGGCCCTGCATCAGGGCCTCCAGCTCGTCTGCTTGTCTGTGCTCATTCCTGGCCCGCAGAGCCAGCAGGAACAGGGTCAGGCACACGGACTTCACGTCACCCCCTTCCTCTTTGTCGGCGAAAGCCTTGACTTGCATCTTGAGCTCCCTGAGCCGGTGTTTCTGAGCCCTCCGGGTGAGGGAGAGGAGATGCTGGCGGGGCCGGCCTCCTTTATTAATATGCACCAGAGTCTCTTTAGAGTCCTTGTGGCTGGAGATGTGATGATTATATTTTTGCAAGCTGACCTCTTCCTTGCAGTCTTTGGCGGGACACCTCACCAGCAGGGAATTCAGGATACTCAGAAAAGACTTCGCTGGACTCTCCAGGTCCATGGGAAAGCAGGGATAGTTGCAAGAAGGGCAATAACTGCCCAGGACTTTGAGACATCTGAGAATGCAGGTCCTGCAAAAGACATGTTTACAGCTGGTCTCCACTGGATCAGCCAGAATATGTTCGCAGATCTGGCAGGAGATGGATTTCACAAAGTGTGCAGGGAAATCCAGAGCAAGGAGCTTGGTACTGAGATGCACCTTGCTGCAGTCCGAGATCTTCTTCAGAGCTTCCTTCCTGCGGAGCCCTGCCAGAGCTCTACTCCTGCGCTGACGGGCTTGTCTTGCCCTGTCAATCACAGTTTTGAGCTTTTTGCTAAGCTGAGCACTGGGCTGCTGACTCTTCCTCTTGAGTCCCCGGTGGGCAGCAAAGCAGATGTCACAGGACGTTGTGTGTGGGAGCCACTCCCTGGTGGCACTCCTGGGGAGGCGCACCTCCCAGGAACCACTCCGAAACTTCCGGTGCATGAGGCTCCAACAGTGGTGGCAGAATTCCGTGGGGTGCACAGAATCGACGTCCGCTTTCACATCAATTCGGAAAACCTTCGCAATGAGGTCTGGCCAGGAAGTGACTCTCTTTTCTTTCTTCCGCAAGAGGCCTTGGGTTTTCCCATCCACAGGCCCATGGACTGGGTATCTCCTCTTGTGGCCAATGGTTTTGAAAGAATTCCCACAGATGCGGCAGAGTTGTCGGAGGTTGGCTTTGTGGATTGCTTTGTCTCTTGCTTTCCCATCACTGTGGGATTTCTTCAGAAACTTGGGGTGGGGTTTTAAAGCTGGTTGAGTCGGGGCTGGCTTCAGACCTTCAGCCTTGTCTGGGACGGTCAGAGACTTCTGAGGAGAAAGTCTCTCCTCAGAGGAAGCTTTTTCCACTGGAGGTTCTTCGGGTGCTTTTTCCAAAGATCTCACCCTGAAGAGCTTAAATTTCCACTCTGAAAATTTAAGGTATGGGTGCTGGATTTCATCAGGGGGAGTACTGAGTGCCAGGGTGGGTGGCAAAGAGACAGCCATACTGGCTGAGGTACCTAGGAACAAAGAAAACAAGTCAGAGGAGGGGAAAAAAAATCAATATTCCATTGATGTTTCTTGGAAGGATTGCAAATAGAGGCATTAAATAATTCATTCACTCAAAATGTTATTTTTCAGACCTATTTTAATATGCTCTGTCAGGCACTAACCATTCAGCAGAGAACAGTAATTTACTGTTCTAACAAGTTCATTTATACTTTGTGTAAATGAACAGTGTGACTGTGGATACCACTATGGATTGTTTTATATCTGTACATAAAAATGCATTTCCTTTCCACTAAAACTCCAAAGTCTTTAAAGGAAAAGAAAAAAATACTTGAGTGAATCCTCACTGCCCCTTCTTCTCCCCACCCCGACCCCAGTTTCCTAGTACATGTTTGCTGAATAAATGAAAGGGGAAAACTGACAAGATGAAAGAAAAGTCATATTTTCCACACTGTATTAGATTGTATTAGCCTCGTTGCACTAGCTGGACAATATATTTCCAGCTTTTTAAAGCAATCTCCCAGGAGGCTGGTTGTTTATTTCTTCCAAACAGGTCATAAAGGGGTGATAAAGCTACAGACCCAAAGAAACTAATTACTCAGTACTTGAAACGGATGAAGTGAATTTTGAGCTTTATGAATCCAAACTAATAATAAGTATCATGGATAGTAATTAGGCTTACAATTTTAATTAGCGAATGCTGCTGTAAATTGTAAAGCTGTGTCTACATTAGGAACAAAAACCACAGAACTCTCTAAATGCACAACAAACTATGGTGTGCATGTACAGATTCCAAAGGGCTTTTGAGAAGAAAAATGCAAAGTATTTTAGGTACTACACTGAGAAGAAAAATGCAAAGTATTTTAGGTACTACACACAGGTTGGAGCGATAGCACAGCGGGTAGGGCATCCGCCTTACAAGCGGCCAACATGGCCGACCCGAGTTCGATTCCTCCGCCCCTCTCGGAGAGCCCGGCAAGCTACCGAGAGTATTCGATATGCCAGACACAGTAACAACAAAGTCTCCAATGGAGACGTTACTGGGCCCGCTCAAGCAAATCGACGATCAACGGGAAGGCCTTTACCTTTTACCTTTACACACAGGTTATCCTGACAGTCATTACTCTATCATTTGTAATTAGAAGAGGTAAGAGTAATATTTTTACTTCTGACAAGCATCAGCAATTTTATATGCGGGAAAAAAATGACTCACCGATCTGTATTGTGGGAAAGATATCAATGGTGCTACCAAAAAACAAGTCTGATAAAGCCAGTTGAGTCCTCTCTAGATCCAATTTTGAACAGCGGTAGGGCGTTTGCCTTGCATGCAGCCAACATGGCCGACCCGAGTTCGATTCCTCTGCCCCTCTCGGAGAGCCCAGCAAGCTACCGAGAGTATCTCGCCTGCACGGCAGAGCCTGGCAAGCTCCCTGTGACATATTCGATATACCAGACACAGTAACAACAAAGTCTCCAATGGAGACGTTACTGGGCCCGCTCGAGCAAATCAATGATCAACGGGAGGGCCTTTACTTTACTTTACTATGTTAAAAAATACATGACCAACTGGGACCTGTGGTGGTGGAAAATGGGCACTGGTGGAGGGATGGGTATTTGATCATTGTATAATTGAAACCCAAGCACAAAAATTTGTAAGTTTACAACTGTACCTCATGGTGTTTCACTAATAAAATTTTTTAAAAAATACACTACCATCTGTGAAAATAAATAAGTTCAATATTAAACTTTTATTATAAATAAGTCAACCACAAGGTATGCTGCTAGAATCCTGTGACCTATCTCCCTTCCTCACTCCCTGTTCTGTTGACTCCATTGACCTGAAATGTCAAAATCTACCAACATAGATTTACTAAGTACTCCTCTGAAAAGAAGTGTCATCACCAAGCAGTTATTGGCTATTGGCATCCTGATGATAAAAAAAAATCTGTAAGGTTTTTTTTTCTTTTTTCCTACTTTATTTAAACACCACAGTTTGCAAAATTGTTTATAATGATTTGTTACAAGCATTCAATATTCTAACATCAATTCTACCACCGCTGTCACCTTCCCTCCACCTTTCTCTCCAAGTTTTCAACCATCCCTCAAGTCTGCCTCCATAGCAGGCCACAATAATTTACTTTATATTGCTTGCTATCACTAAGTGGCTGATGGAATGATCAAGAAACACTTCAGTGAAAGAAAATTTGTGAAAATTGTATCTCGTGAAAATGGTTGTATCTCACAATAGATTAGTTTGTTTTCTAATAATTTTCAAAGCTTTATCCAAACTAGAAGCAATATAGGGGGAAAAGAGTTCATCTTATTTTTCCATTAAGACACACCAACATGCATCTCTCTGTGGAGGCTTTAGCAGTTTTATACTTTTTAAATCTTACCTATGACTTTTACTTTTTCTAAAATAAACGTGTATTGCTTTTAGAAGAAGATAGAACTATTAAGAACTAGGTCTAATGAAATTTTTTAAATACATCTCATTAGTAAAAATTACAAATCTTGCCATTACTCAGCATTAGTGATGATGTGGGGAAGTGAGAGTGTCTTCATACATTCTTGTAGAAGCGTAAATTGGTGTACTACAAAAAATAATGAATAAATTGATGTATTATATTAGTGGAAAGTGTATTAATGTCTTTTCAAAGCTTAAATATATTATCTTTCGTGCAAGAAAAGTAGGTTTAGGAAGTCATCCTATAGAACATTCCTACAAGTATTCAGTAATTTTTCTATGGAGAAAGGTTAGAAAGCATGATAAATTAAAAGATTTGTTTTTAAAAGTATGTTACTTTAATCTAAATAATCACCAATAGGACATTATTCAATAAGCTCTAATTCAGATGGATAATGGAAAGCAGCACAGAAATGTAAAGTGTCTGCATACATTGATGTATGTGGGCAGTTCCTACGAACATCAGGGACATGGAGGGATACCCATAGACCAAAGTGTGAAGGAAATAGGTGGAGTCAAACCCCTGAATGCAGATTTGTTTAGATTTGTATAGAGCTGAAAGTACAAAGATCTGGAAGGAGATGTATTAAAATCTTAACATTTGCTTTTTTAGAAAATACAGAGCCAGAAAGGTAAATAGGGTTTTTTAATCTATTTTATATTTTAATCATTTTATATCACTTCAATTTTCTATAATGATCATCTAAATTTTTGTTTAAAAGTGTTTTTAGGGTAAAAAATTTTCAAGGGGTAAATGTTCTTAAAAACTAGGTGCAGGAAAAGATAGTACAGCAAGTAAGGTGTTTGCCTTGCACACAGCTGACATATGTTTAATCTATGTCACTCCATCTGATCCCTCAAGTACCACCACGAATGGCCCCTAAGCACAGAACCAGGAGTAAGCCCTGAGCACAGGCAGCTGTGACCCCCAAATAGGCAAAAAAAAAAAGCTAGATGCATATGTATCAATCATTTCTCCATATTCCTAAATTTACCCCAGAAAATTTTAAGGCCTATCGAAGCTTCAAATCACCTTTCTTACCCCAATCCTGTTTTTATGGGAAATATGTAGAAAGGAGACTAAAACATAGCCTTAAAAGCTAGCTGAAATATAATGTAAGGACATGAAAGATTTATTTGTCGTCCTGTTTTGATATTCATAAATCTTGCATATGCCAGTTTAACCTGCCTTTTAACAAAGGTCAAGTAGTAGGACCAGCCTCAGAATCTGAAAGGTAAAGTAGAAATGGCTGCCTCAGCCCTGTGCCCACTGGGCATTCCATTGCCATTCCTGCAATCCCCTGCACTCACAGCTACAGTGGCCCTTCCTCCACCTTGCCTGACTTCATTTTGACGCATCAGTCTAGGTGGTTATTGGGTTTGAGCTCTACCATCAGATACCCCAGAGAATTGGCTTCAACAGACCCTTCCTCATCCCCCACACTTCTACCTCCCAGAACTGACCCCCAACTTCACATCTTCCACATGACTAAAATGCAGTTCCAAGTGACAACTCTGTTCCAGTGTCTCATTGTCACACCTGTCCTACTCACACTTTCACTCCTTCCACCAAACTACCATCTGTTTGCCAACCCTGACATTAAAAGCCAAGAGCATCACTAACCTGAGCTAGCTAAAGCTCCTGGTAGGGCACGTGCTTTGCATGTCTGACACCTCAGATATCAGGCATTGTCCAAAACACACAACAAAGCTGACAACACCAAGTACCTTTCTGCAAAGTTTCAAGGATCCATAAAATTATCACAGTCTTGCTTGTTCTTTCTTCCAAGCAACTTTTTTTTTTGCTGGAACTACTTCAGAAAGAAAAGTCTAACAGCACAAACCCTGAATTGGAGTCCTAGCTCAAGCACATCATCTCAGAGCAAGGTGGCAATTGTCAAAAATGTTGGTGCATCTGAATCACTAGAGAGCTTGTGTTTAAAAGGTAGTGCAGATAATCAGCTCCCAGGAAGTTTGATTCTGTTTATCTGGGATGGAATCAGAAATTCTGTGTTTTATTTTTAAAACAACCTTCCGATGATCCTTCTACGAGTGGCCCACTGGTTAGACTTTCAGAAGTAATAGTCTCCTACTACTTCACTCTAGTCCAGATACTTACCAGTACCTGGGAAACCATGCATTTCCTTCAATCCTGGAATTTGCTTCTGATTATTCTTCTTGCCTGCCTAGCATGGTGCTCTTTCTCAGATTAAACCTTTCCTCTGCTAATTTGAGTACTCCTTCACTCAGGATGCACCCCTAAAGCCCTTTCTCTCTTCAGCACTCATTTACAATAATATAGTTAGCTTGCATCTTCTTTAGGACCCTCCAGTGTCTTTGTAAAGTTAGCCTCTTGCTCCTGTTCTCTTTTTCCATGCACTAGAGAAAAACTCAAATTGATGTCACTTTACCTTGCTCCCTCCCTTCACCCTCCTGCAAGGAAAAAAAAGTCCAAGAACTTTGGCTTATAAATAAAAACTGGAATAAATACTGTGACTGGAGGCATGAAAAGTCTGAATGTTACCTTGCT